TTTTTTTTTTTTTTTTTTTGAGATGGCGTCTCGCCCAGGCTGGAGTGGCGTGATCTCAGCTCACTCACACCATTCTTCTGCCTCAGCCTACAGAGTAGCTGGGACTATAGGCACCCGCCACCACGCCTGGCTAATTTTTTGTATTTTTAGTAGAGACGGGATTTCACTGTGTCGGCCTGGATGGTCTCGATCTCCTGATGTTGTGATCTGCCCGCCTCGGCCTTCCAAAGTGTCTAAAATGGCCAGGCGTGGTGACTCACACCTGTAATCCCAGCGCTTTGGGAGGCTGAGGCAGGCAGATCACCTGAGGTCAGGAGTTCAAGACCAGCCTGAACAACATGGTGGACCCGTCTCTACTAAAAATACAAAAAAAGTAGCTGGGTGTGATGGTAGGCGCCTGTAATCCCAGCTACTTGGGAGGCTGAGGCAGAACTGCCTGAACGAGTGAGGTGGGGATTGCAGTAAGCTGAGATTGCACCACTGTACTCCAGCCTGGGTGACAGAGCAAGACTCCCTCTAAAAAAAAAAAAAAAGAAAAAGAAAAAAGAAAAAAATGAGGCGGGGCTTGGTGGCTCATGCCCGTAATCTCAGCTCTTTGGGAAGCTAAGGCAGGCGAATCGCTTGAGCTGAGGAGTTCGAGACCACCCTGGGCAACATAGCAAGGCCTCGTTTCAGTTCTAAAAATATATATATATATAAATAAATAAATGAAAAATGTAAAAAGAAACTTCCAAAGAGCTTCAGGGTATTACCACAGCCTTCTGGAAGCAAGACGCTCACTCTGTTTGCAAGTAGCAACACAAGCCCCTTAGGCTGGCACAAACAGCGGGGAGCTCCTGGGCTCACTAACGAGCTCATGATGGCTGGACCAGCCCTATGCAGGTCAAGAAAGTACTTGCACCAAATACACAGTTCACTAATGGTATCTTACAAATCCTTGTGATCTCTTAAAAACAGTCCCTTGTGAACAGTAACCAGTAACTAAATGCACGCAGATCCCCAGCACTCAGAATCAAGCATTAAAAGGTCAAAACAAGTGCAGTGAGTCATTAACTTGTTCAACCCAATTTGCAGTTCTGATGGCAGCAGAGTTGAGAATTAAAGAGTAGAAAGAAAGGAAAACACACAAAAAAAATTCAAAATGAACGTTTCCACTTTCACTTGAGAGAATCAACCTCCTACCCTGTTATATTTTCAGTCCTTGGCTAACTTTAAACTCCCCCTACCAATTTGAAAATCATGTATGCTAACTTTAAATTTTCATACATTATAAAAGTATATAAAATTAAGTACAAATGCCCTCATTTCCCCAAGTCTAGAAGTAACAACTGTTAAGTTTGTTCTAGCTCTTTCCAAACTTTTTCCATGCATTTGTTAACACCCATAGAAAACTGAATGTTTTCTCTTTTCTTTTTTTTTTTTTTTTTTTGAGATGGAGTCTCACGGTTGCCCAGGCTGGAGTGCAGTGGCATGATCTCGGCTCACTGCAAGCTCTGCCTCCTGGGTTCACGCCGTTCTCCTGCCTCAGCCTCCCAAGTAGCTGAGACTATAGGCGTCCGCCACCATGACCAGCTAATATTTTTGTATTTTTAGTAGAGACAGGGTTTCATCGTGTTAGCCAGGTTGGTCTCGATCTCCTACCTTGTGATCCGCCTGCCTCGGCCTCCCAACATGCTGGGATTACAGGCCTGAGTCACTGCGCCAGGCCGAGAATGTTTTCTCTTTCTACTTTACAGTATCTTTAGGTGAAATTTACATAACTCAATTACTTTTTTTGTTGTTGTTTCTTGGAGATGGGTCTTGCTCTGTTGCCCATGCTGGAGTGCAGTGGTGCAACCATAGCTCACTGTAACCTCAAACTCCTGGGCTCAAGTGATGCTCCCACCTCAGCCTCTTGAGTAGTTAAGATTATAGACGAGTGCCACCACTAAGCAAGTGCCTGGCTAATTTTTTTATTTTTAATTTAGTAGACATGGAGTCTTGCTGTGTTTCCCAGGTTGGTCTTGAACTTCGGGTCTCAAGAGATCCTCCTGCCTCAGCCTCCCAAACTGCTGGGATTACAGGCATGAGCCACTGTGCCCAGCCTACAATTAACCATTTTTTAGTGAACAATTCAATGCTATTTAGTATATTCACGAGGTTGTACAACTACCACTCTATCTAGTTCTTAAACATTTCCATTACCTCAAATTCACTTATTTTTTAAAATGGCTACAGTTAGTATCCCTCCCATAGTCTGGACAGGCCTATTGATTTAATTAATCCACAACTGATGGACATTAAAATTGTTTCCAGTGTCTGGCTA